CCAGCACTGTGGGAGGCTGAGGAGGGTGGATCACAAGGTCAGGAGTTCAAGACCAGCCAGGTCAAGATGGTAAAACCTCATCTCTACTAAAAATACAAAAATTAGCTGGGTGTAGTGGCAAGTGCCTATAATCCCAGCTACTCAGAAGGCTGAGACAGAAGAATCTCTTGAACCCAGGAGGCAGAGGTTGCAGTGAGCCAAGATCGCACCATTGCACTCCAGCCTGAGCAACAAGAGAAAGATACTCTCTCAAAAAAAAAAAAAAATTAAAAATATACAAGAAATGTAAGAATACATATTAAAAAAAAAAAAAGAACTTAAAGAAAACCTAACTGGCTTGGTTTATTATCTTCATGCAATGGCAACTCTAAATAATATCCATGATAAAAGGCTCCTCCTGGCAGGGGCTGACAGCTCCCATCACCTGTCTTGGGACCCCACCAGCCCAAAGGAAACTAGTCCAGAGTCAGTCTCTGGGTTTCTACTTGGCATCACCCAACACTCAGCCATTAGTAACCTTAATTGCAGATACCTTTTCTCCCCCTGCCTCCAAGTCTCACCAAAAACTCTAATATAAAACACAATAGTAGGTCTACTCTGTGGTTAAGAGCAAACTCTGGGTTCAAATCCCGACCTCCCCACTTAACAGATACATGAAAGTTATTTAACATCTCTGTGCCTCACTTTTCTCATTTTGAAATGGTGATAGTGCAGTAAGTACTTCATAATGCTCTCACAAAGATTAAATTAAGAGTTAAAATGATACAGTGCGTGTAACAATGCCTGGCATAAATACAACATACAGGTTCATTATTAGTACAGCCTCTCCCTTAGATTACTTAGGCAGAGGGGACACATCCACAATAACTCCCAGGGCGGAAGGGAACTGATCCTCCTACTACAAAGCTGCCTGGCCCTACTCCTAGGTGAGTGCCCAGAAACAGAGAAGCCACCCTTCCCTCTTATTCAAAAAAGCCTGCAGACCAAGATGTCCCAGATGCTTTCAAATGCTATTGATATCGAAGAAAAAGGAGGCGCCCAAATCGTACACCAGATCCAGGAACTCCTTCACACTAATCTAGAGTACTGCACCCGACACCCCCCATACCCTTCCTGTTTCATCCACACAGTTCTAAGCACCTGCTCACCCACACCTCAGGGAGGGCTGATTGCTAGCCACCCAGTGGTACCAGGGCTTGGCTGCTTCCTGACACCCCTCTGAGGACACATGACGGGCTCTCGGGTACCAGACCTGTAAAAAGCCCTGTCCTAGCCACACTGGAAGGAAGTGGGAGAGCAGGGAGGGGCCAAAGCCCCTCAGGTCAAACTGTAGCCCCTTAGGTGCCATTAACCCCTGACTTTCTTTTTTTTTTTTGCCAATCAGTTTGAGCTTATGAGGTTAGCCTTGAACTGATGACCTCGCCTTCGCGAGCGCCATGACCTCCGGCGGGAGCCACTTTGGACCCTACCCCTGACTTTCTATAGCTTACCATTAAGCAGGCAAAAACTTTTTTAACTCTTGGAAACTTATACTCTTCCTCAACCCAATAGTATAAATACCACTCTCCCCGTTCCTGGGGTGCCCCCCAGTTAAAAATTACTGTAACTTAATCTCTAAACTTATCAAGTTGTACACACTAAACATACAGCTTTATATATGACAATCATACCTCAAAAAAGTGGTTTTTAAAAATTATTTTAACTTAGTATTGCCTTGTACAGTTAGCTGTCCCCCTCAATATCTTAGGGGAATTGGATCCAGGATTCCCCCTTGGATAACAAAATCTCCAGATGTTCAAGTCCCTTTTATAAAATGTGTATATAACCCTATGCACAGGCCAGGTGCAGCGGCTCATGCCTGTCATTTCAGCACTTTGGGAGGCCAATACGGGTGGATCACTTGAGGTCAGAAATTAAGTTCAAGACCAGCCTGCTGAAACCCCATCTCTACTAAAAATATAAAAATTAGCCGTGTATGGTGGTGGGCACCTGTAATCCCGGCTACTCAGGGGACTGAGGCAAGAGAATCACTTGACCCGGCCGGGCGCTGTGGCTCACGCCTGTAATCCTAGCACTTTGGGAGGCTGAGGTGGGTGGATCACGAGGTCAAGAGATCGAGACCATCCTGGTCAACATGGTAAAACCCCTTCTCTACTAAAAATACAAAAAATTAGCTGGGCATGGTGGCGCGTACCTGTAGTCCCAGCTGCTCGGGAGGCTGAGGCAGAAGAATTGCCTGAACCCAGGAGGCGGAGGTTGCCGTGAGCCGAGATCGCGCCATTGCACTCCAGCCTGGGTAACAAGTGTGAAACTCCGTCTCAAAAAAAAAAATAAAAAAGAGAACCACTTGACTCTGGGAGGAGGTTGCAGTGACCCGAGATTGTGCCACTACACTCCAGCCTGGTCAACAGAGACTCCGTCTCAAAAAGAAAACAAGGCCAGGTGTGGTAGCTCCCGCCTATAATTGGGAGGCTGATGTGGGCAGATCACCTGAGGTTACATTACAAGTTCAAGACCAGCATGGCCAACATGGTGAAACCCCACCTCTACTAAAAACACAAAAATTAGCTGGGTGTGATGGTGCGTCTGTAATATAGTCAGGAGGCTGAGGTGGGAGAATCACTTGAACCCAGGAGGAGGAGGTTGCAGTGATCGTAGTTCATGTCACTGCACTCCAGCCTGAGCAACAGAGGGAGACTCTAGCTCAAAAAAAAAAAAAAAATCACATTTACCCCTCCCCAGAGACACGGTAACTACCCAGTTATCCCTAGAGAATCACTAAGACAGGACATGTTTAGGTCAGAAGTTTGGCAGCACTGACACAATCTACCCTGGGCAGGTTCATGTACTGTATTAACTCACGTGATCCCCAGCTCCAGCCAAGCCTCACCTGCGGTACAGCAGAGCCTCTAGATTGGAAGGGACACTCAGCTTCTCCCCTTAATTCCCTGCTGTCCTCCTTAGCTTTCACAGGGTATCAAAGCTTTCAACACATCTTCCCAAGTGGCAGAAAAATGCCAATTTTCCTCTCGTCCCACAGTCATTACTGCCCTAATCCCAGACTCTCCCTATGGCTGCACTGCCTGATATATTGCTTCAATACAGCAAACTCCAGGTAGTTACCCAAACAAGCCATGTGGTTGCACAAACCTACCCCCTCACTTATACATGTGACTCCCTCCTCCTGGAATGCCATTTCCACCCCCACAGGTCTAACCTCACTCCTCCTACTCACCCACATCTCAGAGAAGGCTGACCTCTAATCTCTCAGGAGCACCATGGTACCATGTGCTGATATGATATCCCTTTATTTTATCTACCATTGCATTTCACATACCACCACTTCCTGGCAAGTCCTTCTTACCTCCTAGGCTGAGAATTGTCCCTTGTATCCCTAACCCCTGCATCCAGAAAGAGAACTTAATGCTTATGACATGGATAAAGCCTATGGGTAAGGCAGGCAAGCAGGCAGAGTCAAGGCTATCCAAAGCAGTTCAAGACAAGCAGCCCTACTGACAACTTCCAGAACCACGAAAATCCACTCCCTCCTTCAGTGACCCAGCAGCGCCCTTAGGAACTGAGGTCTTGTGGTGGGCAGCAGCATTCCTTGGTTTTCTAGACCTGCTCTAGCTAACCTCCAAGAGTTGACTGGGAAGAGTTCACCTCAATCAGCCATGGGAGAAAACCACCACAGCTAACGCTTATTCTCCAGATGGTGTGTGGCTCTTAGTGGCTGCAAAACTGCCTAGGGGGCATCTAAACTACAGGGAGGATTCCAGTTCCAGCCTACACCACCAACCCAAGATAAAGCTACCAGCAGAGGGGTTCATGGCCCACTATTCAAAAGACTAGGCCAAGGCGTGGGGAACACCACTTTCCTTTAGCAAACCAGACAGATAGTGGGCTCCAGGAGACCCTCCAAACCCTTAGTTGTGTACTTCTGCGAAACGAGAGCCCACCATGCCCTTTTGCAAGTGCACTGACTGTGAACCACCACAGGACGGTAAGCCATCTCAACCCTCAAGGAGGAATAGCAGGGACTCCATTTTTTGAGGATTCTGCCCTCTTTCCCAGAAAAGGTACTTAGAAAACTAACCCTCAAATGCTTTTGTCAAGACTTAGTTAGCCTGGCCACATGGCTCACCCTTCTCACCCAATAGCAGTGGGTCTGAGAGTCTGCTCAGTCCCAGCCTCTTCGGCGGTGTGAAGCCCCCACTGAAGTCAATCCTTTAGCAGAAATGGGGTTCTGGGTCCCCACCCAGCTTCACAGTAGACATGCTCTCCCCCAATTTCAGCCCATGGCAGGGGGCCAAGCAGAAATCCCCAACACTCCAGGAACCCTGTCATCCTCCCCAACTGTCAGGGGAAATTCTGAACAATCAGGTGGAGTCAGGATGGGGGTAAGATCCCCAAAGCCAAGGGCCTGCTGGCATCAAGGTCCAAGGAGGGCAAGGCATTCTGGAGCCCAAATAACCCCACCACACTCAAGCCATTAGCGGACAGACGTCAGAGTTGTATATTCTTCCCTTCCCCTTCCCCCAGAAAGTGGGGATCCAGACCTAGATTCTTACCGACTGAGCCTGGCTGTAGGCCTCTTAATTGCCTAGAGGGGGCTATCGGCGCTGAGCCCAGCCCAGCCCAGCCCAGCCAAGCCCAGCCCAGCCCAACCGAGGGTCAGCGGCGCCATCCTGCACCAACCCCCCAGCAAAAGGGGAGGAGGCAACACCAGTCCACACCACGGGCTCTGCGGTTTCTCCCCCAGGCCAAGGGGAAGGGCGCCCAGGGTGGATAACCAGCCCTTGGTTTCCTGGGCGAGAACATTCGAGGGAAGGCCAGGAAGGGTCTCTCAGCCCTGGAATGACGCAGCAGAGGCCAGAGGCCCTGCGAAGCCTGTCCCCTTCCACTCCAGTTCTCTCCGCCAGCCTAGCTCATCGTCCCTATTCACTGATACCTTTGAGGCTTTTATCCAGCACCCCACCCCGCGCAGACATCCTCCTCACCATCCATGAGCCACCCAGCTGCTGGTGATTCCAAGGGAGCCGCCTCACACTCCCTCCCTTTCGCACATGACCAGTGGACGAGATGTGGTCGCCCCTCCTGGCAGGATCCACTCAGGCCAGCTTTGGGGTCCTGGCCTGGCTGCCAGGACAAACCCGGAGAGAGGAGGAGGAACTGAGTGTCTTCAGTCATGTCCTTCCAAACTAATTAACTTGTGGGCTCACCTCCGCCAAAGCCCAGGTTCTGGGACTGTGAAAAAAGCCCTCCCACACCCATGACAACAGCCCGCGTGAACCGAGGTGCCGACCGGCCGGCCCCCAAGGTCATGGGGAGGGGGGTCGGGGTGGAAAGGGCCGTGGAGTGAGGGTGCCGCCCGCGGGCCGTGCTAGTCCCTCTCAGCTCTCTGCCGCCGAGACGCGGTACCGGCCACGCGGGAGCTGCGCCTCGGAGGAGGGCGATGAGGGAGTCCGGGGTAGGGAGCGAGGGGCGCGCTGGTAGCAGGCGTGGGACGGACGCGGCGCCGCTCGCCCACCGCTGGACGCCCGGACCGTGGCCGGCGCGCGGCCCACCTCGAGCCCGGGAGGGCGGGGAGACAATGCCCGTCCGGCGGGACAGTCCAGGCCGCACGCCCCCGCCCACGAACACTGGCCGCTCCTCCCCGGGCCTCGGGCAGCGGTGGGAAGGCGCCGGGAGCGTTGGCCACCCCGACCCAGCGCGGCGCGGCAGGCCCCGCTCACTCTCTCCCGCGCCCGCCTCGGCGTGCGCTTCACCCTGCAAGTCCCGGGGCCACAGACCCACCTCCTCCTCCAGGGCGCCGCCCGAGCCCGCTCCGGAGCCGGTGCCGGTGCCGCCGCCGTGCTCGCTGTCCGGCTTCGGGTTGCTCATGGTGCGGGGGAGGGGGCGGCGGGAAGGAACGCTAGGGCGAGCGCCGCGCCGGCCCCGCGGGGAGTGGGAAGGGGCGCGGTGAGCGGTGCGCTCGCGGGTGCGGGTGCGGGGCGGGTGGCGGGAGGCCCGCGGGACGGTGAGAGGGGCAGCCGCCGCGTCGGGCCGGGGTCACATCAAGTTTGGCGGGTGCGGGAGGTGGGAAGGGGGTGCGGAGGGGGAGGCAGTGGGAGCCCGAGAGGCCGCCGCCTCCGCCTTTTCACTGCGACCGGCGAGTGTGGCGGCGGCGGCGGCGGCGGGGGGCGGGCGCCGGGGGAGGGGGCGGGCGGCGGCGGGGGGCGGGGGCCGGAACCGGCCTCAGCTGGGGCCCGGCCAGCCCCCACCCCCGCCCGCCGCGCGGTCTCCGGGGGAACGCGCAGCCAATCCCCGCCGCCCACCGCGGGCTCGCCCGGGCCCGGGCCGCTGCGCGGCGGCCTCCGGCGGGGCCTTTCACCTCTCTCTCGCTTGGGTCAACGCTCTCCCTCTCTCCTTTTCCCCGGCTCCCTTCTCCACCGCAAGTTTTTAAACTTTGATGAACTCGCCCAGAGAACTTTCTTAAAGGGGCCGCGCGCTGCGGGTTCCAGCTTGCAGGAGGTGGAGCCAGTGCCCGGCACCCCGCGCCCCGGTCCCTGGGCGGCCCCGCGCTTGGTGCGAAGTTTCCCGGCCATCGACCCCCCTGGTATCCTGATCTGGGGTTTTGAGGTGACCAACGCACCCATTCTGCCCCAAACCCAGTCGCCCAGACCTCCTCCGCCCTCTCCTCCACCCCCAACGCAGAGCCGGAGGCCGGGTTCTGGAGATGATGGCCGGCGGGGAGTGGTTGGGAGACACCTGGGCTCTGGCCCTGGCTGAGCGCTGTTCTGCTGAGTGACCTTGAGAAAATCACTTCCCCTCTCTGGCCTCAGGCTCTCAGCCAAGAGGGTGGGACTTAGGATCTCCAACTCCCCACTCCCAGTCACTATCTGAATAGGACTTAGGGTGGGGGGTGGAGTGTTGGCATCCTACTGGTCATTAGCGAGGGGTGCCTCGAATGACCAAGAAGGTTCTGTTGCCTACCTTCCTCCCAACACACCTGGCTTTCGGGTCTTCCCGCTCCTCCCTCGACCTCAGTGCCCCTCACACCTTTCCCTACCTCCTATTCCGAGCCCGAGGGCTGGGGACCGGAGTAGCAGCCTCGAGGCTCGGGCAGGGTCGTCCTGACTACCTCCTCCCTCCCCAACAGGTCACTAGGGCGTGCGGCCTCTGAGTCTGAGTCGGTTTTCCCCCACATTTGAAAACCACGGGGCCCTGGCCCGGCCGCCGCACTAGAAACCCACACCCACCTCGGGGCGCGCTGAAGCAACCCAGCCTGAATCCTGCAGAGCCGTGGGATCCCTCCTCGATGCCCCTTGTCCTGGACTCGGGCTGCGACTCCTGGGGTCCCTGCCAGGGACGCCGTCGACCTTAGAAGCCACTGGCGAGAAGTGAGGAGAATCCTGCGGGACCCTGTCCCGGGTCGGGCGTCACCGAGTGTAATCTACCGCCCTGGGGTCAGTTTCTGTCGTGGCTTAACCCGCCAAGCTAGGTCTTAGTCTAGGGGAGGGGGTGGTGATCAAGCCTACAGCGAGATTGGACTGAGGCCTGTGGAGGTATTTGAGGATTACCAACGTTGAATCTAGGCAGTTCACCCTTCCTGGGGCCTGAGCCAAGTGTTGGCAACGGAGCTGGTGGGAAACCAAGGTGCTCTTGGCGTTGCCACCAGCAGAAAGTGCTCCCCGACCTGGAGGTGCTCAATAATTACATTTTTTTTTTTTTTGAGATGGAGTTTCACTCTTGTTACCCAGGCTGGAGTGCAATCAAGCGATCTCGGCTCACCGCAACCTCCGCCTCCTGGGTTAAAGCAATTCTCCTGCCTCAGCCTCCCGAGTAGCTGGGACTACAGGTGCGCGCCACCATGCCCAGCTAATTTTTGTATTTTTAGTAGAAACGGGGTTTCACCATGTTGACTAGGATGGTCTTGATCTCTTGACCTCGTGATCCTCCCACTTTGGCCTCCCAAAGTGCTGGAATTACAGGTGTGAGCCACCATACCCAGCCTGCCTTTCTTCTTAAGTTCTTCATAATTTGTAATACTTGCTTAACCATTATTTGATTGACATTACTTATTTAACTTGTCTCTTGTTAGACATTTGTATTATTTCCAGTTTTTTTCTCTTTTGCCTTCATAGGCAAACTTTATATGAGGATTTTTTTTCTCTTTTGTGACAGTTTCACTCTGTCACCCAGGCTTGAGTGCAGTGTAGCCTCCATCTCCCGGGTTCAAGCAATTATCTTTCCTTAGTCTCCTGAGTAGCCAGGATTACAGGAGCCTGCCATCACACCCAGCTAATTTTTGTATTTTTACTAGGAACAAGGTTTCACCACGTTGGCGAGGCTGGTCTTTAGCTCCCAAACTGCTGGGATTACAGGTGTGAATTGAGGCCTTCATATGAGGATTTTTTTTCCCCCGGCTCCCTCCCTTCTATATGAGGATTCTTAATGCCTCAGAAAGCTTCCCATGTGTGTGACCAGCCCTTGAGCACCTTGGAGGCAACATAGGGGTCTGCAGACCCCTATGGCCCCTGAAATGGTAGAATCTCAAATCTTACATGGATTTGGAGATCATACAAACAAAGCTCCCACCCAGCCCACACCTTCATGTGTGTCATAAGTACCCATTGGCGCTGACCCGGGAACTGATGTGAAGGAGGCTGGAGAGAGGAGTTTGAGGTGCACAATTCTTCCAGACACCTGAAGGGTAGGAACTTACATCTCTGTCTCCCCAGCTATGACCTAGTAGTGCAGCCTCTAGTAATCTCTTCAGTGCCCCATGCCTCCCCCAGTGCCACTTTCCATATCACCCCTGAGCTTCTCGAATTTCATTCCTTTCATCTAAAATCCTCCCCTCCTCACTCTCCACTCCCAGCTTCCAGACTTTGAGCAGCACCCATTCTCCTTTCCCTGTGCTCTCAGAGTACCTTCTCTGTGTCCTGTTGAGCCTGGGAATACCTTGTCTTGAAGTCTTTCCTACCAAATGTGAAGCTTTCTGACTTCAAGGAGTGGCCGTAACCCTACTGAGTAAGTAGAACTCCTTCACTTTGGTGGCCCCCTGGCCTCCAGCAAGGAGCAGATGATGGTGGGCATTTTCAGTAGTAGATGCCTGTTTGTTTATTTATTTATTTATTGAGATGTGGTTTCACTCTTGTTGCCCAGGCTGGAGTGCAGTGGCACGATCTCAGTTCACAGTAACCTCCACCTCCCGGGTTCAAGCGATTCTCCTGCCTCAGCCTCCCAAGTACCTGGGATTACAGTCATGTGCCACCATACCCAGCTAATTTTGTATTTTTAGTAGAGAATGGGTTTCACCGTGTTGGTCAGGCTGGTCTTGAACACCCAACCTCAGGTGATCCCTCCACCTTGGCCTCCAAATTGCTGGGATTACAGGCGAGAGCCACCACACCTGGCCATGCACAAGTTTTAACAGTCAAATTGATCAAGCAGAAGAAAGGATATCAGAGGTTGAAGACCAACTCAATGAAATAAAAAGAGAAGACAAGATTAGAGAAAAAAGGATAAAAAGGAATGGGCAAATTCTCCAAGAAATATGGGACTATGTGAAAAGACCTAATCTACGTTTGATAGGTGTACCTGAATGCCACGAAGAGAATGAATCCAAGCTGGAAAATATTCTTCAGGGTATTATTCAGGAAAACTTCCCCAACCAAGCAAGGCATGACAATATTCAACGCCAGGTAATACAGAGAACACTACAAAGATACTCCTCAATAAGAGCAACCCCAAGGCACATAATCCGTTAGATTCACCAGGGTTGAAATGAAGGAGAAAATGCTAAGGGCAGCCAGAGAGAAAGGTCAGGTTACCCATAAAGGGAAGCCTATCAGACTCACAGCAGATCTCTCAGAAGAAACCCTACAAGCCAGAAGAGAGTGGGGGCCAATATTCAACATCCTTAAAGAAAAGAACTTTCAACCCAGAATTTCATATCCAGCCAAACTAAGCTTCACAAGCAAAGGAAAAATAAAATCTTTTGTGAACAAGCAAGTACTTAGAGATTTCATCACCACCAGGCCTGCTTTACAAGAGCTTCTGAAAGAAGCACTACACATAGAAAGGAACAACCAGGCCGGGTGCGGTGGCTCAAGCCTGTAATCCCATCACTTTGGGAGGCCAAGGCGGGTGGATCATGAGGTCAAGAGATCAAGACCATCCTGGTCAACAGGTGAAACCCCGTCTCTACTAAAGATACACAAAATTAGCTGGGCATGGTGGCGCGTGCCTGTAATCCCAGCTACTCAGGAGGCTGAGGCAGGAGAATTGCCTGAACCCAGGAGGCGGAGGTTGTGGTGAGCCGAGATCGTGCCATTGCACTCTAGCCTGGGTAACAAGAGCGAAACTCCGTCTCAAAAAAAAAAAAAAAAGAAAGGAACAACCAGTATCAGCCTTTCCAAAAATATACCAAAAAGTAAAGCGCATCAACGTAATGAAGAATTTACATCAACTAATGGGCAAAACAGCCAGCTAGCATCAAATGGCAGTATTAAACTCACATATATTATGACTAATCCTAAATTTATTTATTTATTTATTTATTTTGAGACAGTTTCGCTCTTCTTACTCAGGCTGGAGTGCAATGGCGTAATCTCAGCTCACCGCCACCTCCGCCTTCTAGGTTCAAGCAATTCTCCTGCCTCAGCCTCCTGAGTAGCTGGGATTACAGGCACGCACCACCATGCCCAGCTAATTTTTTTTTTTTGAGATGGAGTTTCGCTCTTGTTACCCAGGCTGGAGTGCAATGGCGCGATCTCGGCTCACCACAATCTCCACCTCCTGGGTTCAGGCAATTCTCCTGCCTCAGCCTCCCGAGTAGCTAGGATTACAGGCACGCGCCACTGTGCCCGGCTAATTTTTTGTATTTTTAGTAGAAACAGAGTTTCACCTTGTTGACCAGGATGGTCTCAACCTCTTGACCTCGTGATCACCCGCCTCAGCCTCCATAAGTGCTGGGATTACAGGCGTGAGCCACTGCGCCCAGTCCAATTTTTTGTATTTTTAGTAGAGACGGGGTTTCACCATGTTGACCAGGATGGTCTCCATCTCTTGACCTCATGATCCACCTGCCCCAGCCTCCCAAAGTGCTCTAATCCTAAATTTAAATTGACTAAATCCCCCAATCAAAAGACACAGACAGTTAGATTGGACGGAAAGCCAAAACCCATCTTACACTGCATTCAGACCCGTCTCACATGCAAGGACACACAAAGACTCAAAACAAAGGGATGGAGGAAGATTTACCAACCAAATGGAGAGCAAAAATAAATAAATAAATAAAAAGCAAGAGTTGCAATTTTCACCTCTGATAAAATAGACTTTAAAGCAACAAAGATGAAAAGAGGCAAAGAAGGACATTACATAATGTTAAAAGGATCAATGCAACAAGAATAGCTAAGGATCCTAAATACATACGCACCCAATACAGGAGCACCCAGATACATAAGACAAGTTCTTAATGACTTATAAAGAGACTTAGACTCCCACACAATAATAGTGGGAGACTTTAACATCACATTGTCAATATTAGATCAACAAGACAGAAAATTAACAAGGATATCCAGGACTTGAACTCAGACCCGGAACAAGTAAACTTAATAAACATTTATAGAACTCTCCACCCCTGGCTGGGCGCGGTGGCTCACGCCTGTAATCCCAGCACTTTGGGAGGCCGAGGCGGGTGGATCACGAGGTCAAGAGATGGAGACCATCCTGGTCAACATGGTGAAACCCCGTCTCTACTAAAAATACAAAAAATTAGCTGAGCATGGTGGCGCGTGCCTGTAATCCCAGCTGCTCAGGAGGCTGAGGTAGGAGAATTGCCTGAACCCAGGAGGCGGAGGTTGCGGTGAGCCGAGATCGCACCATTGCATTCCAGCCTGGGTAAGGAGCGAAACTCCGTCTCAAAAAAAAAAAAGAACTCTCCACCCCAAATACACACACACACAAAAGAATTCTTCACCCCAAATACACAAAACATACATTCTTATCAGTACCACATCACACCTACTCTAAAAGTGACTACATAATTGGAAGTAAATCACCCCTCAGTAATCGCATAGCATTTCACAGGTTTAAATGAAATATTGGTTGGCTGCTTGTTTGTTATTTTCCTTCCTTATTCCTTCCTGTATCCATTGTTAAGCACAATTATTGGCATAAAAGAGGTTTTCAATACCGATTTTTAGACTGCATTTTAGCCTGGGCAATAAAGCAACACTCCTGTTCTCTCTCCCTCTTTCTCTTCCTCTTTCTTTCTCTCATTCTTTTTTTTCCTTTTTCTTTTTTTATTCTTTTTTCTTTCTTTTTCAAAAAAAACATTAAAAATAAGGCTGGGTGTGGTGGCTCACGCCTGTAATCCCAACACTTTGGGAGGCCGAGGCGGGTGGATCACGAGGTCAAGAGATCGAGACCATCCTGGTCAACAAGGTGAAACCCCATCTCTACTAAAAATACAAAAATTAGCTGGGCATGGTGGTGGGCGCCTGTAGTCCCAGCTACTTGGGAGGCTGAGGCAGGAGAATTGCTTGAACCCAGGAGGCGGAGGTTGCGGTGAGCCGAGATCATGCCATTGCACTCCAGTCTGGGTAACAACAGCGAAACTCTGTCTCAAAAAAAAAAAGAACTGTACTTCAGATCCAGCCTTCCTGAGAGGCGGCATCTCCTCCCTTCACCCCCTCTCGCAAACACATTAATTCTCCTGTGCCTACCACGTAGCTGAAAATTATTGGGGGGAACACCTGAGGACAGGGATGGTGTCTCTTCCCTTGAATCAAATGCTGGAAGCCCAGGTCAGGTCCTGGCAGAGGAGTTCAGTAATGAATAGTGAATGACTGAAAGGCTAGGGTTACCAAGGAAATAACCCTGACAGCAGTTTTTTTTTTTTTTTTTTTAAAGACAGAGTCTTACTCTGTCGCCCAGGCTAGAGTGCAGTGGCGTGATCTTGGCTCACTGCAACCTCCTCTTCCTGGGTTCAAGCAGTTCTGCTGTATCAGCTTCCAGAGTAGCACCCACCACCATGCCCAGCTAATTTTTATTTATTTATTTTTTTTTTTTTGAGATAGGGTTTCACTTTCTTACCCAGGCCGGAGTACAGTGGCGCAATCTTGGCTCACTGCAACCTCCACCTCCTGGGTTCAAGCAATTCTCCTGCCTCAGCCTCCCAAGTAGCTGGGATTACAGGCACTCACCACCATGCCTGGCTAATTTGTGTATTATTAGTAGAGACGGGGTTTCACTATGTTGGTCAGGCTGGTATCGAACTCCTGACCTAGTAATCCACCCGCCTCAGCCTCCCAAAATGCTGGGATTACAGGCGTAAGCCACCGACCAACTGGTAGTATTTTTATACTAACACATCAATGGCTGCTTTTCCTCTCTTCCAAGATGGGAGGGAGAGTGAGATGCCAGGGACATGAATGGGGAGAGGACTCAGGATTAAAAAACAGAGAAGCCCCAAAGGGGTATCTGGGCAGGCAAAAGGTTTCTGCCTGAACTCCGAGCTCCCTACTCACACCTCCCTCTCAGCACCCAGTGCCTATGAAACCACAGGACCCTTGCCCGGCTTCACTGCCAGTTTCTATGAAACCACAGCCTTTGCCAAAGGGGAAACTGAGGTTCAGCAGCCAAAATCAACTAGCTTGAAGTTATACAGCAAAGTACTGAGTTCATTTCATACTTTCTATTTAATTTCAAAAGCAAGTAGCTTAGAAATTTTCTAAGAAAAAAAAAAAATCAAGCCTAATCAAAGACATTTTCTTTTTAAAAAATTTTTATTTTAATTAATTAATTAACTTATTAGAGACAGGGTTTCACCATGTTGGTCAGGCTGGTCTTGAACCACTGACTTCAGGTGATCCACCCACCTCAGCCTCCCAAAGTGCTGGAATTACAGGCGTGAGCCACCTTGCCCAGCCACAAAGATGTTTTCATACAGAGCACCCTCCCCATGATCTTTTATCCCCTAGAAAGTCTATGTGTGTATGTGGGTGCATTTTAAAAATGAGTTTTAAGTTCTGGCAGCAATTCAATGGCACTTGCTAAACTTTTACTGGTTTTGAGTCCTCCCCAGGGAACCAAAGGTCACTGAATGCCTCTCTGGCCTGCTTCCCTGCCTGAGTCTCTGGCCTCCCAGAGCCTAGGAGAGGGCCTTCTGGCCTAGACCAACTGCAGAATTGCCCAGAATGCCTGGGAGGCTGGCTCTACTGGGCTACATTTCCAAGGGGCTTAAAGTAGGAATTGTTACATTTTACTAGAGTCCAGTGGGGCAACTGACAGTCTTTCAGGGACAGGGGCTCCACATGAAATAAGGTGGGGCAGGGGGAGGCAGGAAGATGAGTTGTCTCTACCCTCACCACTGAAGGTGGCAGTGAGAGCCTATGCCCTCCTTTACTGCCTGTCTTACCATCCAGAAGAGCCTATTGCCCAGGAGGGGAAGGGTGCTCTCATCCTCTCTAAGGCTTTGGAAATTTAAGGAGGCAGTAGGGAGAGTAAGTATGCCTAAGCCAAAGAATACTTCCCAGGGGTGTGTTAGGGCACCACAGGTGATAGAATCTATGCAAAAGGGGCTTAGGGCTGGGCACGGTGGCTCACACCTGTAATCCCAGCACTTTGGGAGGCTAATGCAGGAGGATCCCTTGAGGCTAAAAGTTCCAGACCAACCTGGGCAACATAGCAAAACCCCGTCTCTCTAGAGAAAAAAAAGCCCAGGCGCAGTGGCTCAAACCTATAATCCCAGCACTTTGGGAGGCCGAGGCGGGTGGATCACGAGGTCAAGAGATCGAGACCATCCTGGTCAACATGGTGAAACCCCGTCTCTACTAAAAATAAAAAAAAAAAATTAGCTGGGCATGGTGGCGCGCGCCTGTAATCCCAGCTACTCAGGAAGCCGAGGCAGGAGAATTGCCTGAACCCAGGAGGCGGAGGTTGCAGTGAGCTGAGATCACGCCATTGCACTCCAGCCTGGGTAACAAGAGTGAAACTCCGTCTCAAAAAAAAAAAAAAAAAAAAACAGAAAAGAAAAAAAAACTAGGCTGAGGCACAAAAATCACTTGAACATAGTAGGCGGGGGTTGCAGTGAGCCGAGACCATGCCACTGTATTCCAGCCTAGCCGAGACTTCGTCTCAAAAAAAGAAGTGGGGGGGGGGCCAGGTGCGGTGGCTCATGCCTGTAATCCCAGCACTTTGGGAGGCTGAGGTGGGTAGATCACCTAAGGTCAGGAGTTCAAGACCAGCTTGACCAATATACTGAAATCCCATCTCTACTAAAATTACAAGAATTAGCCAGACATGGTGGTTCACACCTGTAATCCCAGCACTTTGGGAGGCCAAGGCAGGCACATCACTTAAGGTCAGGAGTTTAAGACCAGCCGGACCAACATGGTG